TAGTTGACAGGATAGTTGACTAGTAGCTCGCTCCCACCCACTCCCGCTTGCAGTCTCTATCAGATACAAAAGGGAGGTACTTTAAAGTGGCAGCGCTGCAGGAAGCTTGGGCTCTGTGTGGCACTGCTGCTTTGAAACACTGCGGCGCTAAACCTGGGATCAGCTGGGTGGCACTGCCCCTTTGAAACGCTGCAGTGGCGCGTCAAAAGGGCAGCACCGCACGGAGTCCCTTGGAGTCCCCAGCTGACCCAGGCTCTATGTGGTGCTAAATCTGGGGTCAGCTGTGTGGTGCTGCCCTTTGAAATGCCGTCATGGTGTTTCAAAGTGGCAACACCATGTGGAGTCTGGGGTCACTTGGAGTCTCCAGCTGATCCCGGGATCCAGGCGGCGCTGCCCCTTTGAAACACGATGTTTCACAGGGGCAGCGCTGTCCTATCGACTAATCGAATAGTTGATACAAAAATGCATTGACTATTCGATTAGTGAAATACACGATATTTAACATCCTTAGTAGGGACAATGCCACCACCTTGCCAGCACCCTCTCCCCAGCACCAGTGGGGAGTCCTGGGCTATGCACTGCTGCCTGCATCCTGATGTGAAAATTTAACCGGTTAACCAATGGGGCTGGAGCAGCTCCAGGGGCTGCTCCAGTGCAGCTCTGGCATGTGGTGGGCCCAGGTGCTCTGCAGGGAGGGACTGCTCTGACATCCCAGCTGGAGCAGTCCCTACCTGCAGGGAGCCCTGGCCCACCTCAGGCAGAGGCTGCTTTGGTGTTGCTGGAGCAGCCTGTGTTCACAGTGGGCCTGGGGGCCCCACAAACAGAGTCTGCTCCAGTTGCTATGCCAGAGCAGCCTCTGCCTGTGGGGCACCCTGGCCCACTGCAGGCGGGGTCTGGGGGCATTGCAGGCCTCCCCTCAGCACGCTCCCATTTAATTTAATTGGTTAAACAATATGTTTAATCCATTGGCCAGTTAAGCTAGATTTTACATCCCTAATGTCAGTATGGCCACAAAATACTGCCATTCTTTAGGCAGAGCATGTCAAACAATTATATTTTGTGATTGGGGTTTTGAAATAATGAAAGTGGCCATCTAGAATGCAGTATTTTAATCCCTTATCCTTTTTAGTTCGTATTTTTAGATTGTTTTTCACACTTCCTTTAAATGTTCAGGAAGGAAATTAATAAGGTCTTTTTATCAAAAAATAATGGTTTGGGAGACCAAAAATAAAAAACAGAGTTGCTATTAACCATTATGTTTAAAAGAAGCCCTCTACATTTGTGGGGGGATACTTTCTGGAGATAAGTTTGAATGCCAAAATCCGTGAATATTGGCGTGGGCGTGGGTTGTTCATGACACAAAAACAACACGTTCAAAATGAGTGTTTTATTGCCTGCTGTTTCATGGTCAGCAAACAACTTTAACTTCAAAGCAATAGATTTCCAACTATACTGAAAAACAACTTCATCTTCAAAGCTAATCACCCAAAATGGTTCTTTGAACTCCTTCCTGCAAATCTTACTCTGACAGTTTTTTCCTCCAGGATTTCGGTGGGAGGGGAGTGTTAACAGGGATGTGTTTGCAAAGGAAAGTTGTGATGGGAAGCTGTGTAGTCTTGTTCTTTAACTCCTTTAATATTTCCTGGTACTACATCATCGTACCTTCAATTTCCCTTTTAATTTTCAAGTTCCACTCCATTGAGGGATCATACTCAAACATTTTGTCAGTGAGCTGTTTGCTGCATCTGAAGAGATCCGCCAACGTTTCTAAATTTAAGTCATGTTTTTCTGTCTCATCTTCCCTTTCCTCTTTATCTTCACTACTTGTTACAATTCCTGCTAAGTCCTCATTAGTCAGTTCCTCTGAATTTGATTAACTTTTTCTATCTCCATATCCTCAAAAACCTCCCCTCTAACTTCATGGGCTAGTCTCACAATCCTCTTAATCTCTTCATTGACCAGTGGGAGATCAGTGATATCATTGAGACCTCCTTTCCACAACTTCTTCCAACAAGCATTGATGTTGATGACTCCCTTATGTTAGTGATGTAGTTAGCAATGTTGTCGTCCTTCCAGCATTTCCTGAGATCAAGCATTTCATCACCTTCCAGTGCATTATGAATCTGAGCGAATGTGTGCCTGATATAATAGTGCAAATGGTTATAGTGCAACCTCAGTAGCTAAAATATAAGGCATTAATGAGTCTACTCTGTGTTATATTAAAAAGGGAAAAACATAAGAGACAGCGTTGCTGCAAGTACACCTCTTCTGCAAAAAGGGGCCATGGCTGAGTCGTGATCCCATAATTGAAAAAGGGAAAAGGCATTAAGCATTTGGACTGAAGACATAGCACAGAAACAACCACCTGTGAATGGTGCTGTAATTCAAGAAAAGGCTTTGAGTGTGCAAAAGCATTTTGGTCAAGCATCAGGTGGCAAGGGGGGAAGTCATGCAGTGTCATTCACCGCAAGTAAGGTGGTGGTTTGACAAATTTAAAGAGGCACAGTTTACATAATGTGAAGTTAACATGGGAATCGGCATTGGCAGACCATAAAGCAGCATGGGATTATCCCTCACAGCTTCTTAAAATGAATGAGGAAAAGGGTTATGTGCCCCAATAAGTTTTCAATGCAGATGAAACCACCTTGTTTTAGAAAAGGATGCTCACATTTCCAAGGCGAAAGAACAGCTTTGGGCTTCAAGGCAGCAAAAGACAGGTTAATTCTTCTCCTCTGTGGTAACGCTCCTCTGTAGTCACAGCTGTTTCATCCATGAAGCAGATGGTTCAAAGGGCTGCCCTTCAAATTGCTACCCATATTGGACAATGACTCTGACATAAAACACAACTTCCTTTATTCAGCCTCTCGATCTGGATGTGATTACAGTAAACTTCCGATAATCCGGCACCTTTAGGACCCAGGGGGTGCCGGATTATCAGATTTGCCAGACTATCGGAAGGGGGGGCTATGAGGTGTCTGGGGTGGCATTCCCCCACTCCAGACCCCTCATAGCCCCCCCTTCCGATAGTCTGGCAAATCTGATAATCCGGCACCCCCTGGGTCCTAAAGGTGCCGGATTATCGGAAGTTTACTGTAATCACATCCAGATCGAGAGGCTGAATGAAGGAAGTTGTGTTTTATGTCAGAGTCATTGTCCAATATGGGTAGCAATTTGAAGGGCAGCCCTTTGAACCATCTGCTTCATGGATGAAACAGCTGTGACCACAGAGGAGCGTTACCACAGAGGAGAAGAATTAACCTGTCTTTTGCTGCCTTGAAGCCCAAAGCTGTTCTTTCGCCTTGGAAATGTGAGCATCCTTTTCTAAAACAAGGTGGTTTCATCTGCATTGAAAACTTATTGGGGCACATAACCCTTTTCCTCATTCATTTTAAGAAGCTGTGAGGGATAATCCCATGCTGCTTTATGGTCTGCCAATGCCGATTCCCATGTTAACTTCACATTATGTAAACTGTGCCTCTTTAAATTTGTCAAACCACCACCTTACTTGCGGTGAATGACACTGCATGACTTCCCCCCTTGCCACCTGATGCTTGACCAAAATGCTTTTGCACACTCAAAGCCTTTTCTTGAATTACAGCACCATTCACAGGTGGTTGTTTCTGTGCCATGTCTTCAGTCCAAATGCTTAATGCCTTTTCCCTTTTTCAATTATGGGATCACGACTCAGCCATGGCCCCTTTTTGCAGAAGAGGTGTACTTGCAGCAACGCTGTCTCTTATGTTTTTCCCTTTTTAATATAACACAGAGTAGACTCATTAATGCCTTATATTTTAGCTACTGAGGTTGCACTATAACCATTTGCAAGCTTTTCCAATAATTCCGGAATAAGTCATCACTTTTTTCCCTTCTTAGCTTCATGACCATTGTCTGCAACACTTTTCTTTTTGATGCCACAAGTGATACTTTACCAATTGTAACTTTTTTACCAGAATGCACTGACAGAGCATCAGTAAGTAGCATCATGTGCTTGTGCGGTGTGGTGCAGCACACCAAGTGAAACCACAAACAGCAAAACCGCAGATGGCAAGGTCTTGCTGTATGCTAGAAGATTTACCTGGCATTGCTTGGGTCCAGTAGGCAGGGGGCCGGTGGCGTGGGGGGTGCAGGAGTCTGGGAAGAGGCTTCGAGATCTGGGGAAATTAGGGCAGGAGGCTGGGGATGTGGAGGGGGGACAGGGGGCAGGGGGGGGG